CGTACCTGGTAGACGACGTGGTGGGCGTTGCAAACATCGTAGAGCATTTGCTGCTCGAGGCGGAGTCTTCTCCAAGCCTGCGCTCCATCATAGGGGCGAGCATCCTCCTGGGTGACAACGAGAACTAGAATAGTTCCAGAAAATTAGGGATCCATAGTCTGAAAATAGCTTTAAGGAATATGTGAGAGAGAACAATAACGAAAAATAGAATAAATAAATAAAGAATGATGAGTGTGACAGAAAAATAAAAATAATCCAATTCGTTTTATTTGGGGTTGAGAAAGACTCTACAAACAAACATGTGCGTATCGTTTGAAACTGGTAAGCTTCTCAAAGTAAATAGTGGCGTTTTTGTCTGTTCTTGCCCAATTTGAAAATCAGACACTTTGCAATTAGTCCTCCCAACCTTCATTCGTTTGCAAGGCGCCAGCCGCTCCCGCGCCAGCCAGCTGCAGCCCTGGCGCAGGTCCTCGGCGAGCGAGCCCAACTGCAGCATGGGGTGCAGCATGATGTAGAAGGCGGCGGCCCACTGTGTCGAGCAAAGACATCAACCGGCACTGCTCGGCTTACACAGTAGGATACTCTGTCAAATTTTTACTAGAAAATGTGCAAAGGAACTATGTGATTGTCCACAAAGTACGTCCGTCATTCGCCGTTACGAGCCATCAGCCAAGTGCAGCCTCTGCAATCTCTCATAGCGCCTAATAGGTAGGCAACATCTTGCGTACAGTGCACGCGTGTACTTTGGGGTGGCCTACCCCGAGTCTGGCAGGCGCCGTGCTCCCACAATCTGCGCAATAAATATGAGAAAAACAGACGTTCTTTCTGGACGATCCCTGTGTTCACTTAAGTTTCTACACTCTGATAAATGAAGTGAGCAGCTGGTGTGCACATGCAAGTGCTCAACACTTCGCTGTACCGGGTGTAACTGTGAATACGCAGCAGTGTTGCGGGATTGCATACCCGCCAGGGATGCAGGGGCCATGGCGCCTTACGGGCGGATTCGGATTCG